AGAGAAAAAGGCTTTTTGAATATTGAATCAAGGCTGTCTCCAGTATTATTGAATTCCCATAAGAAGACAGCCAGTGAGCCCACTCCTTTAGTGTCCTATGAATATTTCATTGCTTGACTTAAGTTGGTGAAAATAGTTTCACTGCACAAAAGCACCTCTTTAGCTTGTGGACTTCTCTCCAAGCACATGGTGAGTGTCCCCACACTCACACCGGCTATGAAGTCACCCTGGCTTACAGAGTCATCCCACACTACAGCAAACTAAATTTGTCAAATCTGGGTGGTGTTTTGGCACCACTCGGGAATTTCCAGAAGACAATTGGTCACAGCTCAAAATGTGTTGGTGGCTTGCTGGGTTGGACTGCATGAGCACCACAGCAGTGTTGGCAGAAGTGATGCTCAGTACCCGTGTCTCCATCCAAGCAGGGCAACAGCAGAGAAGGTGCATGGTTGGGGAGGTCATCTCGCCTCACTTTGACCTACCAAGTCGGCTGCAGAACTGGGGATACAAGCTGTGCATCCTGGTACCCAGTTGTGGGCACTGGTCTTGAGGGTCTGGGTCTGCTTAGTTCCCCAAATTTTAGATGCTTACCTGGAGCTTCTCTGGATAATCCAAACCTCATGAATTGCTCGGGCTGGAAATCTTTCAAAAACAGGCTCTTTCACAAAAATTTGGTGACTCCTGCTTTCAGACAGGCTGTAAGCCCCATTCACCAATGCTACAGAGAATCCTGATGCAGGAGCATTGCTTTCCCACTCTGCACAGATGAAAATGGTGTCTCAAATACCATGAAAATACCTGCTTTTCCCTCTTCAGGACTGTGTTTTTTGGAAGTGCCGGTGCCCTACTCCTAGCATCCCCTGCTTTTCCTCCATGACCCAGGAGCTTCCTCTGATATTACCCAACAGTCAAAGGTCCTGCTCAGAGACGGCAGTGGCAATAACCTTTTTCTTGTTTATTCGTTGAGCTCAGAGGTCTCCTAACCACAGCACTTAACACCTCTCCTTGCTCTGCCAGATACCGTCACACAGATCTGGAGTGATTTGAGTCTGGAGGGGGATGGCTAATTCCATTGCTTTCTTCTCCTCTTTTTTTGTCTTTTTTTTTTTCCCCAGTCTGGAAGTACTCTTCAAAGGCAAACAGGGCAAATTAATGAGAATTAATTATTTTATTGTAGACAGGGTAGATAACACTACTTGTTACTGAGGTACCCAATACTTTCCATTATAGGGTTACGTTTCCCATTGCTTAGAACAATGCCAAAATGTGAACATTTAGGCAGAAATTGTCTGTCTCAACATGAACTTCTCTGGAAAATTTCAGCCAAACTGGGTCAGCTTTTTCCAAGAGAAAAGCCAAAGGAAAGCCATTTGGCTTGCCTGTGGCCGAACACCCTTGCTGAACCTCCTTTGGAAAGCTGTCACACCCTGTGCTTCACGTAGGGAGGTGAAATTTGGCAAGGGAGATTTTTCTTGATGGGACCATACTGTCAACCTTTTTCAGCTAGAAACCCCTCCTGGTTTCCTTGGAGGAGCACGATGTCCACTGCAGCTTATTTAAGCTTGTAGGCTTGTTTTTTGTAGGTAAGGTTTCAGCAGTGGTTGCTTGACCTGCTGACCAGAGGTGCAAGCAGCACCGTGCTGGAGTATGGTGGTGTGCATGGTGGGCAGGTCCAGTGCTGTCCTCCCCAGGCTGCCTGTCCTGTGGGGTGGAGGTCCTCCATGTCTCCTGCCTTGGATCTGCCCATCCTAGGCTTTAATTTTCTAGAAGGGTGATGGCGGGCGGCTCCAGTTGACGTCAATGCAATTGCATTAGCACTGCTGAAAACCAGGCCCATGTCGTCTGCACAACTGAGCCTCAGCACTCTCCCATCCATGGCCGTGGGATTGAACGGTCCCTGTAGAGCCCAGGATAGGGACAGACAGTGGGACAGGGAGCAGGGACCCCATTTCTTCTTGCTGGGCACCCACCTGCTGCAGACAAGGGGCTTGCAGGCACCTTGAGCGTGTCACAACTGCTTGTCTCTGATGAAAGATGAGAAGACAGGTGGCAATGCATTTTCTGAGCTAATTTCTCATGGTCATAGATCATTGATCATAGAATGGTTTGGGTTGGAAGGAACCTTAAAGATCATCTAGTTCCAAGCTCCCTGCCATGGACAGGGACACCTTCCACTAGATCAAGTTGCTCAAAGCCCCATCCAACCTGGCCTTGAACGCTTCCAGGGAGGGGGCATCCACATGGTGCTTCACTTGCTCCTTTTGTACGAGGTGGGAAACCTCTCTCCCCCGGGAGACAGGAGGTCTGCAGCCCGCTATCGCTTGAAACACCCTCTGAGGTCTGATTGCAGAAGGTGCTGCCACTCTGCAACATCCCAGGCAGGGACAGCCAGAGACCCTGGGTGCAGCTGCCCCTGTTGCATGCTCATGTGGCACAGGAGCAGCATGGTCTTTTCAACATGAATGAGAAGATGCTGCCCCCAGGACCGCATCACCTTTGCCCTTTTGCAATTTAATCAGGAGAAACAAGAAGTTCTCTGGGTTAAACAGGCTCTTTGCACACTGATGGCACAGGGTCCATGCATTGCACGGCGAGCCTGGTGGCAGATCCTGTTCTGATTACAACCGTGGATCTCCTCAGTGCCTGCCTCGGGTCTGCCCATCCTAGGCTTTAATTTTCTAGAAGGGTGATGGCGGGCGGCTCCGGTTGACGTCAATGCAATTGCGTTAGCACTGCTGAAAACCAGGCCCGTGTCGTCTGCCCCACTCAGAGCACGGCGGCTTGCGGAGTCGTTTGGCATACATTAGGTTGGGTAAGATGGATTGCTCGGCTCCTAACTAGGACAGATAGATAAGGATAATGGATGGACGGTCAAAGAGCAACCATGCTTTAGGCAGATGAATAAATCACTTTGATTGTTCATATATAAACAGGAGATGCTAGCGGGACTTGGCTTTCAAAGTGGGGTGCATCCAATTTGAGCCCTGTGATTTCGTTTAAGGATCTAAAAGCCGTTTGAAATGGGCTGCATTAATTGAGGAAACCCCACTCATAGTGCTCCTGCGACGGAGCCAGGGTCACTCAACACTCAGGGCTTGGCTGAGAGCCCCAGTCCCTCTGGTTCCTTGGGAACCTCCATCCTGAGATGCCACGTCCCCGTGCCACCTTTCCCAGGGAAGAAGAGGTGCCCAGGAAAAAGAGAGGGGCAGCGTCCTCCTGCTGAGGGAGGCTGGCTGCAAGACCTGCCTTCCAGCTGCTTACCTGTCTGCACTGACTACAGACCACCAGTTATTCTGGGTTGCATCCTGGGAGCAGGAAGGGTCTTCAAGAGGCTTTGCAGTGCATGCAGTGCCCTTAATTTCAAAGGATGCTCAGCTCTGGCATCTCCAGCATCTGGAGATGGGGCGGCGGGGTGATACAGGACCACCATGGGGGACATGTCTCCAGCCTGGCCTCCTCATGCTGCAGAGCACTGCATTTACTCACAGCAGCCTGTGTGCTCAGCAGGATGGCACCCACCAGGCTCTCAGCCTGTGACATGGGGGCATCTTTCTCACCCAAAGTGGTGAACAGTGTATGCCTGGTTTCAGTTGAAAGCATTTTTGGCACAGGAGTTGTGACTGTTCCTGTGGGTGTCTGATCCTGTCAGGATCCATGCTGAGGGCATGTGGAAATGCCACAGGAGCTGTGGATCAGAGAGGAGAACAAGACCTCCAGCCTGTGCAGGGATGGGGCAAGCTCTCAGTGCTCACCCAGGGCAAGGGGCAGCCCACAACTTGCTTTAACAGGAGCACCTGGTGTGTTGTCACTGCAAGGGCTGTACCCACCCAAAGCAGCTGGCCAAGGGTGTCCCTGCAGATGTCCTCTCATGTCGTGCACGGGGTTGGAGCAAGTTCTTGGTGCCCATGAACTTCCTACACATCTGTGGCCTCCCTACGTATGCCCAGGTGAGTATGGCTTCGTCAGAAATTCCCTCTGAGCCTCGATGCCCAAATAACCACACTGGTGCGTCTGGTTCACGGTGCTGGGCTGCCATGGCTGCTCCCCCATGCCAAACCACAAGAGCCGGCAATTAGGCTTTATTCGAGGGCTGAAGCAAGCCCTGAGAGACTCTGGGAGCCAACCAATGGTGTCTATCTCTTGATCCATCACTCCCACCAGCCCTTTAATTTCCCCACAGCGATGGCGCAAGCCAGGACGATGCTTCAGCCATCCCCTCCCAGAGCAGCTGGGGTCCTGGATGCAATTCTGCTCCCTTACCAAAAGCTGATCCAACCCCTTCCCACCAGCCGCCCCCCTCTTTCTCTGTCTGCTCATTGCCTTAATAACGCTCTGATCAATCTCAGAAGGAACCAGCAATGCGGGAATGGCAGATGGGGAACAGAGCATGAATATTAATTAGCAACGAATTCCAAACAGAGGACTTTAATTACATTAAGAGTGCAGGCTCGGAGGCAGTGACTTACTTCCTGCCGTAAATCCGTTGACAGGTCATTTGCCGCAGTGGTGTCGGTGCTCCTTAATGAATGAATATATACATTTCAAGTGCTGGTGTATGGGGGGAAATAGGGTCTTGTTTCCAAAAATGCAAAAGCAAGCTGCTGCACCAGTGAGCGGGCTTCACTTGTGGGGAGGATTTGGGGAAATATTTATTAGTATAATTACCTGGTAATAATATGCCCATTCTGGGAGCCAGGAACTCTGCTCGTGGGCCTGGAAACCTCCTGTTTCCAGACCTGCTGCTTTGTTATATGTGGTCTGGTCACTGGGGGGAGATGAAGAACCACAGCGCCTTCACGGAGGATCGGGTGGGTGCCAGGGTCCCCGCCACCCTGGCACGCTTGGGTGTGCGCAATGTGCCTGGACCGCTGCCCACCTTGGACGTAGGCACCCAAGGATTTCCCTCGCTGCAGCGTTTCACCAAGTCCCACGGGTCTCACCTCATGGTGGGGTGGGGACATGTCTCAGCCTCCAGGTTGCTGGTGATGCTGCTTTGGCAGCCTGGCAGGAGAAATCAGTGCTGCAAGGGCAGAGGGTTAGCCAAAAAACCCATCTAGCCAGGATCCCGTCTCAGCCCATGGGCAGCAGCAGGTGGAAAATCACATTTTCTCCAACACGGTTTAACCACCTTCCCCAGGAACAAGGCAGCCAACGCAGGGGACCTTCTGTACCAGCAAAAGGGTCTTTTTGTTTTAATCCCTCAAACTGGCATGGGACAACAATGCTGCCAAATGGCCCCTTACGGGGACGACTCTATCTATACTAAGGGATTTTGCTGGATGTGTTTGGCCTGAGGTTTTCTGCACTGCTAACCAGCTTGCAGTAAGAGGGGAACATGAGTGCCAGCACGCCAATATCCCAGCAAGATGAAGCTTTAGCTTTATCCTTCTTCGTCCCAGCCGCCTTTAGTCTGTGGAGCAGCACATTTCTCCACAGTCCCCCTGCAGTGATGCTAGAGAGCCATGCTCTGGCTAGGGGCAGCACCCAGCCACTGACCCCTCCGGTGAGTCTGCTGGACAATGTGTGATGCTCAAGGGACTGCTGCATGCTTGGAGCTCATCCAGCTTGGCCCAGTGCCCTTGGCCCTACAGTGGGGAGCAGCATGGGACATGGCATGTTTCCAGACTCTCCAGGGCCTGGGTGAAGGCAAGGAGGGAAACGACCACTCTGGGCAATGCTGGTGGAGCTGCAGCGTTGAGCACAGTGATGTGGGCTGCAGGAAGGAGATGACACTGGGGTCTCCGCTGGGTGGGCACATTGAGCTGTAAGGGACTCTTGAGCAGCGGGTGCAGGAGCTGGAGGCTTGCACGGGAAGGGCATGCCAGCAGATACCCTCTCATCTCCATGCTTAACCAGAACGACCTTGCCTGGTGGGTCCATACTCATCTGAAGTGATCTTACTGATTTTGCTGGCTCACCCCAGACCGGGACTCCACTCTCCTGTGAGGCTGGCAGAAGCTGGAAGTGCTGCTGGCCAGCTCTGACAGCAGCACAGGAGTGAGCTCAGAAATGGCTCGAGTAACTCTTGGCCCACCAGGGATCACTTGTGCATCTGCAGCTCTGAAAGAAGACACAGAAATGGTTGAGGGGAAAACCTGACCTAGGGATGAAGTTTAGAAGAGCTAATTAGGTCTGGCTGAGCTGAGGTAAAGGCTATAAGAGGGGTCTACAAAGATGTGGTGGGTTTTAGCACCCAGGAAGACACTGATTTGGAAGGGGTGGTCCTTGCCAGCAAGGACCTTGTCCTGACTGAGGCTTTCATGCCCACATCTTGCCCTCCTCTGCTCAAAAGCTGTGGTGAGTGTGAGCACTCTGGGTTGAAATGGTCTTGAGGTGGCACCAGGGTTGGGAACAAGTGGAAAATGCCACAAACATCTCAGGAGCAAAGGTGCCAAGCATCCTCAGAAGATGTCTCTGTGCTTTGAGGTGGGTCAGAGAGGTGGGGCATGACCACAGCACCATTGCACCACGAAGGCTGAGGGCTCAGGAGCATGAAGCCAAAGATTCAAGGGATTATGTGAGCTTCGGCTAACTGGCACAGAAAGCACAATATGGCAGGGTACACCCCAGTGCCAGTCCTCAATCAAAAGGAGGTACTTGCTCTGGTCGCAAAGGCTGGGGTAACCAATGCTCTTGGTGCCCCCAGCTCCCACTACTTGTGTAGACTCACAGGTACCAGGATGCTGCTGGCATGAGTGTCTGTACACCTGGGGGTGCACACCTGGGGCTGCTGTCTCCTCCAATGATGCAGGTGCAAAACCAAACTAGTCACAGAATCACGCAGGCAATGTCCAGCAACCAAACCAAGAAGCAACTGGAAACTTGCTGGATAATGCGTGGTGCAAGACAGCACTTCCCAGAGTTTGTCTCTGGGTCTCCTTCCTGGCCCAGTGAAAACCAAGAGGTGTCTTTTGCCCAGCCTAGGATAACCGCTTGTTCCTCTTGCTTGAGAAGAGCATGTGTATGCACTCATCCTTTCTTCCAGCTTTTCACCAGGGCTCCAACCTGCCCCGAGATGGTACACAAACGAACTGAGTGGTGCAGGTCCATGCCACAGATGGAAGCTGGAGGCTGCGAGCTGCCTTGGCAGCTGGCACGTGGCTTCCTCCCCCTCACTGCCCTGCCTGTGGCTCTCTTGACAAGTCTATTTTTATTTGTCTCTTCTAAAAATGAGTGGGGAGGACAGAGGTGTTTCCTTGTTGTGATGAACTTGTCCAAACCACAAATACTTAAAACCCTGCTAGCCAGCTTTTAAGAGCTGAGTCTGACTCTTTCATGCTTCTTTTTATTGCTCGCTGCCAAATTACGAAGCAGGTTCTCCCCGCTGGCCCAGGAGCGGGACAGAAGATGTCACAATGACCGTGCATTTTGGACCAGGAGGCACCTCTAATTCACAGTGCCAATCAGTGCTAAAAATCTTGCTTTACCTTGAGGGCAGAGGCAGCAGAGTTAACAAATACAGCCCCTTTGCCTCCACCCCAGCCAATGTGCTCATTTGCTCCTGCTCCATTTCTTCTTGCAGCAGCTGTTCCCTGGCTTGGGTCAGACAGGGAGATGTTAAAACAGGAGTTTGAGGAGCTGCTGAACTTTGCATCTGCAAAGCCACCATGCTGGGGTGGCACAAGCCCTTGCCCTCTCCCCTCGTCCTTCAGATACCCATGCCAGATTAAACATATGCTCTGTGTCTTATCGACTGGCTCTAACAAGGGGCTTTTCTGCCTGGGCAACACGTGGAAAATGTATATAAATGCAAGAGGCAGAGCGAAGGCTATCTGGAGATAGCAAGGCTTGTTTGTACAAGTAATTGCTCTGACACTCCTGCAAGGAAAGTGATGCTCAACCAGGGAAAAGATGCTATCGTGTGAGTGGCACATCCAAAGGGGACTAACAAGCAGATGTTGGCATGGGCACAGGCACGGTGAAAATGCAGCAAGGTCATGTAATTATTCCACCTGGATTTACTGCCGGAGCTGCTGCGAACGTGGTGCTCTCCTGGAGCTCCTGCCAGCAGGCCTTGGCTCTGGTGGGGTGGGATTTTGGAAGCTTGAGCCGGTCCCTCCTGTGTTTGTACCAATATGCTCCTCCCGTGGGTGCCTGCGGAGCTCACGTCCTCCTCCAGGATCCTGCCTCTGCCGCTGGCATGGGAGCCATGCAGCATCACGCTTCTTCTCTTTGGCAGGCGCTCCCCACCCAGCTGGGATACGGAGATACACTTGAACAATCCTGACTTAATGGGGCTGAAACTCCACAACGACAGTGGCAGAATGGAAGGGAAAGGCTGATTCCCTCTCTCCCGCTGCTTTTTCATGTATGCTTTTCCTCCATGGTGGCTGGAAGAGCTACATTACGTAAAGGCACATAAGTCCCTGCCTTTTGTGAGCAGTTGGAATAATTTTCAATATCTGAGACACCCCATCTGGCAAAGGTCATGCTCTGTTCTCTGGATGGTCTTAATTTAGCACTTGCATGTTCTTGGTGAAGTGCAAAACTCCGGGGTGCAGAAAGACCCCTGGAGGCTATT